AGTCAACCCACCTCTGAACTTCAGGTTTAACTAGCCCATACACTTTTTTTTTCCAACTCCACCCATGCTTATCAGCCCCATAATAATGATGGTAGAGGAAAGAAGTACTCAGAAGATGCATAGCAGTGGGCTTAGGTGACATGTTTCTTGATTTTATTAAATTGCTTTTTGTCTCTACCCAAATATTTTTCAAGGTCTACTTAATGCCTTCAAAATATGAATTTATAGGCTGCTACTAACTTGCATGGCTGATATAAAACAGCTGAAAAATCCTGTATGCGTGTGTACTCATCGCTTACAAGTGAAAAAAACAATTGTTTGGTGCTAAAAAACAAAACAAAACAAAATTTAAAAAAACCTCCCTGACTATTATTAGTAGGAAAATGCCATAAGCTCCATTCATTGAAATTTTTTGTCAATCTATGAGGAGAGTATGCAAAACTTTCTTTCTTTTTCTTTTTTAATAATTCCTATTTACAAAGCCTTAACAGTACCTTATTTCAAATGGCTCCCAATTAAATGCAAAAATATGAGGGGTAGTGAATATATACAGTCATTGAAAAACCAAGTAACATAGCAAAAAGGGACTAATCAGAAACCAAAGAGAATAGTTAAGGGGGAACTAACAACATTAAAAGAATAGAGTTTTGAAATTCTGAAACTACCATCTGGCCCAAATGTTCTTTATGTAGGCAAATTAAAAAATGCTTTAGGCAATGTCCTTAAACTGATTCCAAAGGAGCAGTATTTGAAGATTAGTTTTTTCTGTATCATAAGTAAAAATAAGTTTGCAATAAAATAAGAATAATAACAAAATAATGGGCAATACCTTCACTTAAATGAGAAATGCTGGGACCTGAGGCTGGGATGGACATTTTGAAGGACCAGACGTTGAAGCATAGAGGATTTTTGCACTGTTTTCATGTTTTGGTGTTGTAGTAGCTGTCTAGTGATGAATTATTAAAATGTTTCTTGTGGGCAGGAATTTAGGCAGAAGAGATAAAGATGAGGGATTTGGTATAAAAATGAATGCAATGCGTACCAGTGCTTTAATTTGTAGAAAAGAAACTAGGGTGAAGAATGTACTATGACTGTAAGCAAATTAAGGAAAAAGAGGCAGTATAAATTATAACACAAAGTTGCAATTGTGCTTTGGTGGACTTTACAATACGATTTTGTTGCTTTCTGACAGATTGGTGGCAATTTTAGTTTTGTTTATTAAGACATTAGATTTCCTAATGACAAGAGATTTTTACTTTATTTTCCTGGGAAAGTGCATTTGAAAAGCCCAAGTTGAAGAGGATATAGGCCTTCTCCTCATTTCAGCAAGGATGCTGAAAAAGTATCCACAAATTCTTCCTGGTCTGAGACAAAACTGAGTCCTGGATGCTTTGTGTTGGGTTTCACTTACACAGACTGCAGTGCCTTCTGTCTGCTTTGGGTGTGGCATCTGCCATTGGGGAGGAAAAACTGGCATGTGTTGCCTTTTATAGCAGACCGATTTCATTGTGCTGAGGGCCTCTATTTTATAGCCTCTTGGTTCCAATCTTCTAGATGACTTGCTGAAGCAAATGGAATTAAAACAACTTAAATCTACAAACTTCTTTATTTTCCCCCCCAGTTTCATGATTTGTCTACATGAAATGCTTTTTCCTCCCTAGAAAAGAGTCAATAGTAACTTTGTGACTCATTTTCCCTCAGGGTTGATTATGAAAACAAGCCACAAAGTATGGGTAATATAATTTGGATTGCTTTTGATACATTTTATCAGATTTTTAACATTAAAAAAAAGATTATGTGTGCATATCTCCAGTGTGAACATAAATATCTAAAAATATAAATATGTAATGGATTTTTAGAATATATGTATGCACATAAACATATACATAGAGACATATATTTATATTTGCATATGAAAGACTTTTAAAAATTCAACTTATGGTGTAATGTGTATAATTAGTATGTACTTGAATATAGAAAAGAAGAAAATCCAGGAAAAAATGTCAAAAAGGCACAGTAACAAAGATGTAGTATTCTCTTGGCAAAAGCTGATGAATGATTTGGCATGAATTCATCTTACAATTCTGTTATTCTCTCTTCTACAAGATGATATACCTCCCCCTTTCCAGTGGTTTGCATAGAATTGTAATTTGTTGTTTCTACAGTCTATAATGACCCTTGGGTATGCACCTGATTCCGCCCCCCCCCCACAATTACTCACCAATTTTTTCCACTCTATCGTTTTCTATTAGTCATGTAACGTATTTACATTTGGTCAAACAAACAAAAATAACTAGTGTAGCTGAAATAAACTGGAATACTTTAATGCACAGCTGAAGAATTAGGGATCTTATAATAAGTAATTCCTATGGAATGGTAAAGTACGTTTATAGTTTTTAAGGCAGAAAGAGAAATCCAAAAAAACATTTCATGATGGTTACATGGTATTTATTGCTAGTTTTAGAGTAGTATAATTTTATATTACCTAATGAAACTTGTAGTTTTAAACACTCTCTTCCTACCAGTGCCTTAGTACAGTTGTGCTGTTTCTCACGTCAATGTCATGATATTCAGATTATTCCCAAGCTATAAAACAATTATGGTCATTTTCCTGAGAACAGGGCATGAAGTATTTGTATTAATCTATGTTTAGATGGTCTTCTTATGGAAACTCTCGGCTGTCTGATTTTGCTTCTCTGCAAAAATAACTTTTGTTTCACATCGTTGATCAGGGAATTGATATTAAGATGAGTATTTTACACATTCTCTTTGGAAACATGATGAAAGGTGCCACAGAGGTGTTCTGATTGAGGATGAGTGCGAGCTGGTGCTGTTATGACTGGCAGTTAAACTTTCTTCTAAAAGCGGTTTGGATACAACACAACACAACACAATGATTTCCCTTTAAGGGGTGGAGATAAAAGTGCCTAGGAGAAATATAGATATGACCTAATAAATTTCTTTCTAAAACATTTTCAGATTTGGGTGCTTGTTCTTATGAACAGCAATATGTGAATGTATGGAAAATATATATATATATGCACACACATGTGTACATATAGAAATACACATGAGCACACACATGCACACACCCATTCATGTATACACACATGCAGACTCACATATCTAGGGGAACAGCTATGTATATGGAAAACGTAGGCATGCATTTATGTATACATATGTGTGGACTGTGGAAACATAGATGCAGTATGTGAACACAAGAAAATACACATGTATATGTAGAAATGCATACACACGTATACATAATATGCATGTGAATATATGGAAATACATATATATACATGGGTATTTGTGGGTATCTGTCCCCATGTGGGTACAGGAATTTATTTTTTGTTGATAGCCTTGCATATAAATATAGTAAGATGCCCCATAAACAATGATTATATTAATAATAAAATCTTTGGGGTAGCTGTGGGCAGTTGTTAATCAAACATTTATTGAGTACTTACTGTTTACAGAGCACTATCAGTTTAGGATAGAGAGCTATACTATACGATTATAAAATAAATATATGGTACCCCCTACAAACCTGCAGAAAATTCATTAATTCGTCTCATTTTGTAGTTTGAATAAAGTTGTAGAAATTATGTTGACTGACTTCAAACCAATGCATAATGGGTTAACATTCTTCAAATTACATAATGAATTCTGAAATAGCTAATGCTTCCCCCCCCATTGCCCAAATATTTTTATTTTTAGTCAGCTCAATGTAACCTTTGAGCCAGACAGACAACTTTGTTCCCCAATCCGTCTCTTTCTTTTGTCTGCCAGTCAGACCCGTTTTCCACCTTTGTATCGTTCCTTTTAAACATGAAAACAAACACATTAATGCCTAGTTGGCAGGGAAACAGATGCAAAAGGGGAGAGTGCAGGCCCCTTTTGCCCCACGCTGTTGCATTAGAAGCGGCTGCTGAGCTTGGTAGAAAAGCCTCCCTGGTCCGTGCCTGCGCGGGTGAGTCTCCGCCGTGTGCCACCGCTAGAGCAGCCGGAGGAGACGGGAGAAGGTAGTTAGAGCTCTGGAGGGAGTGGTGGTGATGGTGGTGCTGGAAAGGGGGGGGGGGAAGGGGGAGGGAGAAGTCCAGTCCGCGTTTTGCAAGTGCACAGGAGTAATCAGAGAGAAGTGGATAATAGTTGTTAGAGCTCGCTCTCTCCTCTCTCTCTCATGCCATGCTGGGCCAGATAGGCTCAGTCGGACGTGTATTTACCCATATCCGGGTTAGAGAGGAAAAGAAAAAAAAAGTTTCATTTAAACCTGAACTAAAAACTTTCAACATGAAATCTCACAGCAAGAACAGGCATAGACCGTAAGATATTATTATCATTTCTAATCTCAATCCAGGACTTTGGGCGGGGGGGGGAAGGGGGAGGATAGGGGGGATGTTTTTATTTTATTTGGGGGTATGTGGACTAGACACTGAGAGTGGCTGTTTATTAAAAAAGTGTTTTTATTGTTTTCTCCCTCCCTCTCTCTCTCCCCCTCCCCTTTCTTTTGTTTTATTTTTGTTTTTTGTTTTTTGGGGGGGGTGGGGTGGGTGGGTCGGGGGGGGACACATTTGACTCGCGATGTTGCAATGATCATGGCCGCGCAAGTAGCATCAGCCCCGGCGGGTGCGGACCACAGTGATCGGGGCGCCCCGCTCTGCGTCCGTAGCCGGCTCACTTGACCCAGGATCTCTCGGCGGGGGAGAGCCGGAGCGGCAGGACCGGGATCCATGCTAGGGGTCGGCGGCGATGGGACTAGCGGCGGCGGCAGCGGCGGCGGCTTGAATAATGTAGCTCCCCATCACCTCCACCACCATAATGAACTGAACATGGCCAATAATGCGAGCTCTGCCGCCGCCGCCGCCGCCGCCGCCGCCGCGGCTGCCAGTAATAATAATACGAAGAGCGGCGGCGGCGGCGGCGGCAGCGGCAGCAGCAGTAGCAGTAGCAGCAGCAGCGGTAGCGGCGGCGGCGGCAGCAGCTCGTCCGAGGCGGCTCTGAAGGAAGGTGGGAACGCCGCGGTCTTCTCCTCCTCCTCCTCCTCTTCCTCCTCCTCCTCTTCGTCTGCCCCGGCCATGGAGACGGGGCTGCTCCCCAACCACAAACTGAAAAACGTTGGCGATCCCCCCGCTGCACCTCCCCACCACCAGCAGCACCACCATCATGCCCACCACCACCACCACCACCACCATCCTCACCATCTCCTCCACCACCACCATGCACTACAGCAACAGCTAAATCAATTCCAGCAGCAGCAGCAGCAGCAGCAGCAGCAGCAGCAGCAGCAACATCCAATTTCCAACAACAACAACAGCCTCGTCGTCGTCGTCGGCGGCGGCAGCAACAACGGAGCGGGGGGGCAGCGGCGTTGCTGCTGCTGCTGCTTCTGCTGCTGCTGCTGCTGCTTCTGCTCAGCCCAGTCCTGACATGGAGCCCCAGCAACATGGAGGAGGCAAAGACGGTGTTTTGGGAAATCAGGCCGAGACCCAAGCGCAGCAGTTGCTGAGCAAGTCAGGCGAGGAGGAAGAGCTCCCGACTAAAATGGGGGAGCAGATGGGCGGCCGGTACGAGCACCCCAGCCTGGGAGCTTTGGGCGCGCAGCAGCAGCAACAGCAGCAGCAGCAGCAGCAGCAGCAGCAGCAACAGCAGCAGCAGCAGCAGCAGCAGCAGCAGCAGCCGCCCCAAAGCACCGGGAACGGCAGCGGCGGCGGCGGCGGCGGCAATGGTAGCCTCGGCAGCGGTGGCAGCGGCGGCGGCGGCCCCTCCGCATCGGTGGGGGTCTCGGAGTTTAATAATTACTATGGCAGCGCTCCCCCTGCGAGCGGCGGCACAGGCAGCCGAGCCGGGCCTTGCTTTGATCAACATGGCGGACAACAAAGCCCCGGGATGGGGATGATGCACCCGGCCGCCGCCGCTGCCGGGCCCCCCAACAGCATCGACCCCTTGCAAAACTCCCACGAAGGCTACCCCAACAGCCAGTACAACCATTATCCCGGCTACGGCCGGCCCGGCGCGGGAGGCGGAGGAGGCGGCGGCAGCGGCGGCGGCGGCGGCGGCGCTGGAGGAGGAGGAGGAGGAGGAGGAGGAGGAGGAGGAGGAGGTAGTGGAGTAGGAGGAGGAGGAGGAGGAGCAGGAGCGGGAGCAGGAGCAGTGGCGGCGGCGGCCGCAGCGGCGGCAGCAGCAGCAGCAGCAGCGGGCGGCGGCGGCGGCGGCGGCGGCGGCGGCTATGGGGGCTCGTCCTCGGGCTACGGGGTGCTGAGCTCCCCCCGGCAGCAGGGCAGCAGCATGATGATGGGCCCGGGAGGCGGCGGCGGTGGCGGCGGCGGCGGCGGCGGCGGGGCTGCTAGCCTGGGCAAGGCTGCCGCTGCTGCCAGTTCTGCCGCGGGAGGGTTTCAGCGCTTCGCCGGGCAGAACCAGCACCCTTCGGGGGCCACGCCGACCCTCAATCAGCTGCTGACTTCCCCGAGCCCTATGATGAGGAGCTATGGCAGTAGTTACCCCGATTACAGCGGCAACCCCAATGCCCCAGGCCAGCAGCAGTCCCAGGCGCAGGGAGCGGCGGGGGCAGCTCCAGGAAGCCAGCAGGCAGCAGCGGGCATGGGCATGGGCAAAGATCTGGGCTCCCAGTATGGAACTGTAAACCCCGGTTGGGCAGCGGCACAACAAAGAAATCATCCAGCTATGAGCCCTGGAAACACTGGACAGACCATTAACAGATCCCAGGTAACTACTAGAAAAAACCAGGGCCTTCTTCTAGGGCTTGAAATACACCTAAATCCCTAGGCAAGGTTTAGTTAGTTTCTTTCTAATTTACTTTTTTCCCCCCTCTCTTCCCCCCCCTCCCCCCCGAGAGGGAGGCGGGGGTAGATTCCCAAAGCCATTTTAACTCCTAGCTGCCTCACTAGAAAATGTTTGGTAACACAATGTCTGACTCCGATTAGTCCAGGGGCATTAGAAGGTGGTTTCACTGAAGAAATAACAGCTATTTTATTTACACAATTGATTAACACGTTATTCCACCCCTTTAGCTTTGTATTATAAAAATGGAAAGGAACAACAAGGCTGAAGAAAGCAGTGGGGACGACTGAAATCGCTTTTGTAACAAATAGTGTTTTTAAAAGCCAGTAAATTCTAAAAGTGGATCACTTGACTAAGCTTGTCTATTAAATGCTTTGATCCAGTAAAGCATAAACAATTCTTTCTTTCTGACTTGTTTGCCCACATTGGCCTTGGTTTGCTCATGAGCCTAAAAGTTGGAAATTGTGAGAAAAATAGGCTTGTTTTTTGACAATCGAAGTGTTTCTTATAGTTGTGAACACCTTACGTGATTAGCGTGGAGTTGCTTTTGATTTCATTTTGACTTTGAATGTTTGGTAACACAAATTCCAAATTTCAACTAGGTGGATGTGAAATATATTAAAATATTTTATGTTACATAATGTAAATAATGAAATCCACAATTTGTTACATAGGTTTCTTGAAACCTGTAATTTTAAATGACATACTGACCTCGAAGGGCTATGTTTCTAATGAGTTGTACTTGTTTTGATCATTGAATATACATATATTTGATGTGCTTAATACAATAATAAGCTATCAGATCAGTAGGAAATGGATCATTTTGGAACCTGTTTATATGGGTTTCCTTTTGGGGGGGTGGTTTTTTTTTTTTCCACCAGCCAAATCATAGGTTGATTAGGGAGCGTCCTGCACACTTGCTGTTCTTGCTAGCAGACTGAGTCTGAAGACTGACTTGATCTCCTTTGCAAGGTTTGGAATTTGAATTGTGGAGGTAAACTGGCTGTAATAGTCTCCAGACAGCTGCCTCCGAGTTGACATCTAATCTGCCATCTGATTGGCTCCCCTCTTCACCATTGGGCATTTAGCACTGCTGATGTAAATAGAAGTGCTGAGCAGTACAGTCACAAAAATTCTTGCAACAAATAATAACTGAGCAGTATTACTAGCAGATGCAAGGTTGAATAGTGTTAGAAGTTTAAATTATAAGGACTAATATTCATAAATAGGATTAGATGAATATCAACAGAAATAGCATGCTGTTTGCATTAAGGAAAAAAATAGCCTTGGTGACTTTGTATTATGTGCACTGCTATTATCATAAACTTTAATTTTAGAGAAGTGGAATTTTAATAAGAAAATACATTTTGAGAATGTGTTAATGTTAAAGCAGTATATATATTTACTTTTTACCCTTTTAGTAAATGGAGCAGAATCACAGATTTTTATATCAAGAGAATCTAGTTTAATCAGATTTTAATCTTTGAAGATGTAGCAACATTGGAGGTATAATTTCAGTTGCCTTCATAATTGATTATTTTGCACATGTGTTCTTACCTGCTTCGGTGTTTAATAACAAAAGTTTTTATTTGGGGTGTTTGTGCAGGAGTAGTTTGGGGTGACTAGAAAATGCACAACAAAGATAGACACAAAACCTTTTGTAAAAATAACATGCTAAAAGTGAAAAGTAATGGCCATTCGACTGAGTTTAAAAAACAATTATTATTTTTTGTGTGAATCTTCTCCATTGAAAGTACTCTTTTTCTGTTTTAAAGACACCCCCCCCCCCCAAAAAAGAGCAAAAAGCACCCGGAGTTGGTTTTCGTCTGATTATTTTGGTATGTCAGGTAACTTGAGCTTTTTTTAAAAAATTAAATTGCTTACAGGATAGTTTAGGGAAAACACTACATAGTATATTTCCTTTCCTTTTTCCTTCTTTGGACAGCTTAATCTTATATTTTTTTATTAGAATCTGATGTAAATAAATACCATTGCATACAATTTTAATTTTATCCAGTTCAAGTCAGTAAAAAAGGAATATATTTAAAGAAAGATAGTCATCAGAGTGAGTGAAATAGACTGATCTTAATAAATAACGGTGAGAACTTTTGACATGCTAAACATTGATATCCACAATCTATATATCTTCATAGGAATATTTTACTTTGATAGCACATATTTTCTTTATTCTTGATTGGAAAATAGAAATTTCAAGGATAATAACTTTTTCCACCCCCTTTCAATGAGATTTTTACAGATAAAAAAGTAAGGATGTTTCATGGAGATAATCTCATAAAAGCAAGCTGACAAAGCAAATCTGTTTTTAAAGAGATAGCTTAAAATTTACAGCTTTTGGAAGCTAGAAACAGTTGTACTGTAATAGAGACAGATGTAGGTACATGTTACTTCTGAGTACTATCATGGCAGAAATTACAAGTATTTTATTTTTATTGGAATGAAAATAAATTCATTGTATTATTACCCTGTCTCTTGGGAATACTTTAAAAATTTTATGTGGATATATATGTTTATTATGCACTAATTCACACTGAAAATATATTTATGGCATTGTGACTTGTCTCCTGGTTACAGATTTCTTTAAAGGGTGTCTTTTGAAGACTCTGGCAGGGACCGCTCTTTAGTATTTCATATGATAGTTATGAAAGTCATTTGTCATACCATATATATGTTATAAAATATATTAAGCTAAGTTATATTATGATGAAAATTTCTTTTGGCTTCTAATTGGTACTTTAGTTTCATTTTTGTTTTCAGCAAAATGATTTTGTTCAATGGCATATCTTTTTGTGCTTGGTAGATGTTTCTAGGAGATACCTTTTTTTTTAAGAAAGTAAATTAGGACTTTTTTCTATTTAATTGTATTAATTTATTGGATTTCTGTGTGAGAAACTGGATTAATCAGTTTCCATAAATGTGCTTATATCTTCATTCATATAGCTAAGATTTGTGTGTTGTCTATATTTGTCTTGCATTTAGTTAAATGCTAATTCAACTTTAGTTTTATAAAATATAACATGAATCAAAAGGAAATCTGCTTTGCTCACCCCATCATTTACCTTTATTTCTTCTTACTCCCATTCCCTCCCCTCTACAAATAAGTCAGCAGAGGGTGGGTCACAATGAGTGAAACTCTGAGCTGAGGACATTTGCCTATTGGTGGTTACCTATAAATAAATAGGTTTAAGTGAAAAGATTTCCACCACTAATCCTCTCAGTTCTCCAGTTAAATATTAGACTTATTGTGACATTGTCAATTTTATAAAGAACTTTTTGTGCTTTTATTTTTCAATCAACCAACCTACATTTATTATTTCTCGGTGTAGAGAAAAGGAGTTGTTACTATAATTAATAGGAGAGGCCTATATGTAGTACTTAACCCTTTCCCCGAAATTTAAGTTGACATAATATGACAAGTTATTCAGCACAACCTGCCTAGGATAATAACTATTTCTGGGTCATTTAGTTTTGAGTAAGAGATGTCACTAGCAGATTTTTTTCTTTTGATTTTTGACCTTTTCAGTCACATAGCATGAATATTTAGGCACTAAATTCCAGGGAACTGGTACCCTTAGAATTTCATCTACATCAGGAAATCTTAACTTTTATTTTAGTCTCCTTTTTGAATTTGTAGCAGAGTAGTTTGTGCTGGAGCTAATTTTTCTCAAATTAAAGTTAGCAAAATAGAAATAGTTTCAAAAACCTGTGGATAGAATAATAACTTTACCTAGGTCTCATGCTGAATACTATCACTAATGTAGATGTCCTGTACATGGGTTTATTATCTTCACTAATGTTAGTGCAATTGACATATTCAGTCTTGTATAGAAATCTTTGAAAATGATTACTATCTCAAGCCATGTGACCAAATGTATATTAAGACAATTGGGTTTCAGGTCAGATTTCAATAGGCATATTTTTAATAGGCATCTTAGAATAGATTTGTATTTTTACTTCTAGTTTTATACCTTCTTTCTGATTAATAATACTTGGGGACAAATAAAGGTAATTTTCTTGGCTCTTGACCTTAGTGACCAACACAAGTCATGATATTAAAGGACTATGTATAACAGAAAAAAAAATACTCAATCTATTTTACTACTCTGCCTACTTCCACTAGGAAGATAATGGGTTAATCAATAATTGTATAACTCCACTAAATGTTGCTACTTAGTTACAATATGGTTTTAGGGATCTGAACTTTAGTTCATTAATGTTAGCATTGGTATTTGCCTTTCCCCACGTGTCCACAAGCTTTTATCACTCCTGCACTAGACTTTTGACAGCTGAACAGTTAATGGGGTGGATGGTGCTTTGATCCAAATTTGTGGGAAGGAGGACTCAGCGCTCCACCTGTGCTTCATTTTCATTTTCGGATGTGTGTAGATTTGTAAATTTGGGGTTGCTAGCAGGTGTTTGACAGAACTGTCTTAATGTTACTTAAAACAACAAATTTGTAGAGGATATGGCTGCATATTAACAACACTGAACATCTGAGTAATTTTGCTAATGCTTAAGTTTGTAGTATGGATGTTGTAAAGCTGCCTGTGACATAAAAAGAAGAGATCTGTAGCTATACTTAAGGCCACATAAATGTCTTCAGTATTTTTGGACATGAGTATGCAGTCTCAGACATTTCAGTGCCTGTTCAAATGGGCCATTTATCAGGAGATTTTTTTTTTTTTTTTTTAAAGCAGATTCTCTGTGGATATGTAAAGCAGTGTTACCACACTTGCTGGGGATGAATGCTTGAGGCTTGAGAATCCCAGGCTGTAGCTCCCTGTAGTGTTGAGATGTATGTAGTAGGCAGAACTGTTAACTAACCAGAACATATTTCTGCACTGTAGATATAAGCATTTTATACAATATTGCTTTTCTAATATAGGGGCTATTTACATAAAAGTAAT